AAAAGTATTTGCATTTTGTATTTAAATACTTTAAATAAACCATTTTGCACTTTTTTATTCAATTTGCGGTGTTAATTTTTGATGTTGTTCATCAAGTCATCCTACACCACAAAACCTGATGAACTTACGCTTCACTCGTTACTGTAAATTCGTTAGAAATTTTCGATCTAAATGCATTACTGATATGGTTATTGCTACCTTCAAAATTGCTTGATTTCAAACTTTAATTAGTAGATAGCCTTAAATAAAATTAATACTGATATTGACAATAAAATAGTTGTAATCAAAATAGATCGAAACACGATCAATTTAATAGTTTCTTACAGTACCTATCAGACAAAAACTGTAATTTTGACTATTTAATAAATTCTGTAATTGCGCAGTTAGAATTTTCTTGCAAACTCAATTATTTCGATAAATTATAAAAGTACACGAGTATTACCTAATCACGCAATTCGTTGAAGTGCCTGTGTCTCCAGATAAAGAATAATTACCCGTTTAATAAAAAAACGGCATATATATACTACGCAATTTATTGTAAGTAAGCTGTTGCTAATGTTTACTTTGTGTCTAAAAAATGATGAACAAGTGCTGCAATTTAGATAAAGACCACTCACGCGATGTCAATTTCATAAAGATATTAAGGTATTGAAATTATAATTGTTCGAAAAATAATTGAAATAATAATCTTTACAGGCATAGAGAGTCATAAACGATAATTAATTAAATTAACTGAGTTAAAAATTGTATCATTATGGAAAGAATGCGATTGCAGCAAGTTGTTATTCATCATCACAATTATCTACCTGAGTTTTTAAAGTTTAATCGTTAAATGCGTATTCACTTGTACAAGAGCAAATAATGAATGAAAAAACAAACAATTTACATTATTGGAAAAAGCATTTAGAATTGAAAGCCTAAATAAGCACTAACCTATTCTGAAAATCATTTTAAGAAATATTTGCATGTTTAAAAACTTACCTTTTTAATTTTTTACGATGCAGCATTGTGATGTTCATTGAATGATGTTACGTTCTTCATGTTTCGAAAATCTAACGTTTNGGAGCCATGTTTCATCCATTGTCACATATCGACGCAAAAACTCGGGTTTATTACGCGTGATCATCTTCAAACACTGCTCTGAATCATCAACTCGTCGTTGTTTTTGGTCAAAAGTAAGCTCGCGCGGCACCCACTTTGCATAGAGCTTTCTCATACCTAAATATTCGTGAATGTTGTGATGTATACGTTCCGTTGATATCTGTAGAGTGTCTGCTATTTCATTCAATTTCAATTTATGGTCATTCAAAATCATTTTGTGGATTTTCGTCGGTAGCAGCCTCTTTTGGGCGTCCACTGCGTTCACCGTTTTCGGTGCTCATTTCACCACGTCTAAACTTAGCATACCAATCCTTGATGGTTGATTTTCCTGAAGTTTTTGCTTCAACTGTATTTTTTCCCTTCAAAAAGCAATATTTTATCAACACGCGAAATTCCTTTTTATCCAGTTTTTTTCACAATAACAAAAGTTGCTTCACTAAAAATGCTATAATTCACAAACTAATGATCCGACAGCCGTCAAATTTATAGCCGCGTCTTTTGAAGGTTAGGACTAACTGAAAATCATATGGATTTAGTTCTGGTGCCGCCATCTATGTGTCAGGCCGGGGACTTTTCAATTGACCCTAGTATAATACCGATTTATAAGATATCTCAAAAACGAAGCAATAATGTCTAGTCGAGGTGCCCTGAATCCAAATCAAACTCAGAATGTGATCGTCAAAAGGATTTTACCAACAAGAAATTAACCTACTAACGCCTATGGACGGGTACATCTTTCGACTTACAAAGCCGAAGGGTTGTGCGGAAGGACCTCTTCAGCCAGGAGCTTCTAAGGATAGGAATAGACTCCTTGTAACACGCATTTTGTAACCTTCTCGACTTTTTCTGTACAATTTTCTTTTTGACAGTAGTAATAAGCGACTATTGTCATTGTTGCCGTGTATTTTCTTTCGTTTGATTCTTTGGTTCTCTTTTTTGGTTTAGTATGGATTAGTACAACAAAGACCATGGAGGCCATAGAACTCAGGGCATACGTATTAGAAGGAGCATTTTCCTATCTTCAGCCTCCCTAATGAGATCGTAGAAATGAGTGGGTCTTTCTACGAGAGACTCGAGTCTCTCAATTTTTCAGTTTTATTCATTCATTCATTCATTCAGAGACTGTGAGAGATCCATAAAAACACGTAGACAATAACTGAGAGACTGTGAGAGACGGTCTCAGAGACGCTGAGAGATTAGAGAGAGACTGAAATTTTTTTTCTAGGGCCAGTATTTGCTGAAGTTAGGAGTTGTCAAACTTTAGAAAAAGAATAACCAAATGGTCAAAGAAGACAAAATATCTAATAAGATATCAAAGAGTCAGTCTTACGTTATTAGTCAGGTAAGGATCATGCGCTATAATACGTGATGCATAATATTAACTACCATTATCGGTCGTGTGTGGTCACTTGTGACAGAGTCACACTCATGTTGCCAAAGAGTCACATGTGTCGACTACTGGCGTAAGTGATCCAAGGAAACCGTAAAAAAGCTTGGACCATAATCAATCATCATGAAATTTTGTAGACATATTGTCAGGGATACAAAAAAGCACATAGGGTACCTTTTATCCAGAAAAATAATGCTGTTCCCGAGGGATACAAAAATTAGTTTTATGTGGTCTTTCATGATCTTTGACACGTATTTAGAACATTAACGCGAGGGAAGCTACGGGAAGTCTAGTTATTGATTAAGTAGTCTTATTAACCCATGTTATTTGTATTAAAAATAAGAATTAGTTATTCTTTTATGTCCATTTTCCTAATAAAGAAAAGTGACCCTACAAGGAAAAGGTAGACCGCTTTTATAGCAATGTGTATAATTTCGTTATATAATTCATAACAATCTATGCAATACTAGGTTCTTTAAGTGTAAGCTCTAATACACCAACTTACTTTTCTCGCGAGCTTACAGTTGCTTAATTCGTTGCTTGCACGGTATAAAACTCCTACTAGCGTAGGCAACTGTCTAACCTTCATGTAACTGACCGCGAACTGGCTAAAGATTTACGCAATAATAAAAGGTGTTAAATAGCGACGAAGTTCAAAAACATTCGACCGCTTTAAACGGGCACTTAATAGTAATAGATTTTCAAAATTAAAAAAATAAACTTTTTTTTGGAACAAGCTTTTTCAAAATTTTAAATGAGGACCTAATTTTAATGGAGGTGCTTTATAAAAATTACAGTTGATATGTCACAATTTTCATATAAAATTTTGGAATTTTATTTTAATTTTGTTGTTAACAATTTTACACATTTATAAGTACCAATAAATTACATTTGCTAGTTCTACAGCTCAATTTCAACTTTTTCCGTAAGTAAAAGTAAAAGATTAGAAAAAAACCTCAAAATTACTTTTTTAGGTTTCCGTACGCATAACGTAAATAAATTAATTTCGAGCATAGGGGTCATTTTTGGGGGGTCAATGGGAAATTTACAACAAAGTTTTGCAAATTGTACTGTGTGACATATCAAGTGAAAAGGCTTGTTATAAGGGTCTCATATATATATTTCTACTACA